CCTGCTGCACCACCACTGCAGCCTCCCTCCGTCGCCCTCTGAGGCAGCCGTAGATCCATGGTTCAAGGGCAGGTGGTGCTCCTCGGGCTAGGAGGCTGCGGTAGTACGTCTTGGCGATGGTACACACGAGCATGATAAGTCGTTCGCCATCCACGCCCTCCTTGTTGTTGCCCTTGCCAATCTTGCAGGCGTCGGACAGGATCCAGAACAGAGGGAGCTTGCCACTGGTGCGGATGCCTGTGGACAGGCAGGCGAGCAGGAAGTAAACAGAGTTGGCCGAAATGCGCTCCTGCTGCTCGTAACCGACGCCGTGCTGGTGGGTCGCTCTGCGCTTGTTGATCCAGTTGGGGAACATGGCCGTGCGGAGGAGCTCCGCGATGATGCTGTCCTGAGGTGCGACACGCCACAGCCTGAGACGCCACACCTGATTCTTGAAAGCGTCGATGTCCTCTTTGACCTCCTCATCCGTGACCGATGCGTAGGCTTCGGGCAGCTCGTGTAGCATATTGTTCATGTCATTGAAGCTGACAAGTCGTGCTGCAGCCCCACCCTCCGCCCCAGGTTGTTGCATCCTGGTAGTCCACTCCTGTGTCGTTCCGCTGGTGTTGAGCTGTCTGTAGTTACGCCGTCTTGGTCCTCTCCCTCGCGCAGCTATGAGACGAGCCAACCTGTGCACCTCATGGAAGTCCTTGGCCTTGCGAGTCTCCTCGAACGCTGCTACTCGATCTTGCTGTACCCGCTGCCAATGACACCTCTTGTGCTGCCTAAGCCACTTGCTGATAGTCGTGATGCGCACTGTAAGCTGCAGCTGAAGGTCATCGTCTTCCTTTTGGTAAGCCCATGCCAGTCGATCGCGCACTTGCCTTCTCTGCAGAAGCAGGGTTTTGAGCTCTCTGGCGTAGTCGGCATGGTGCTCTGTGTATCCCTCCTTCCGTGTGCAGGTGGTGAGCGCAGCGTTGGTGATGGCCTGGACCAATAAGTCGTTGGCCTCCACCGCGAGTGTATATCCCGTCTGGGAGTTGAGCCAGGCCGCCTTCTGCTCGATCGTGGCCGTCACGGATTCCATGAACTCTCTCCGTCTGTATCCCCGCTGGAGAAGGGCGTGGGCTGCCGTGGGCTCTATGCGCTCAGATTGGCGCACATCTGCGGGAGTCATGTCCGTCACCCACTCAAGCCCTAGCCCCAGCGGTAGATGATCCCATTCTCGTCCCCATCGATGCGGCTGAAGCCTGCGCATGCTGCGCCGAAAGGTGGTGCACCATCTCATCGCTGGAAATAGTCCTTGCGGCAGTGCTATGTAGTCCAGCGTCTTGCGGGCGCCGCAGGAGGCGACGAAGGTGTAGCCCGCATCTGCCATCGTGTTGGCAAGACATAGTCCATAAGACTCGAGCACAGGCTTCAGTATCTGGGCTGTTCGCTTCTCGTCTGAGCCGAGGCTATACGGACCAACAACACCTTCTAGCTCCTCACAAAACGTGGAGTTGAGGTCCATGGTGAGGATGGGAATCCACCTGCCCGCCAGGGCGTCCAGCTGCTGAGTCAGCCAGCGTATCATTCTTTCACAACAGTTCGTGTACTTGAGAATCTGATCTTTGTCCCTGGTGCACGGCGGGAAGTAGAGGGCGAAAACAGCGAACCCAACCGACTGCCTCTCCAGCTTACATCCCAGGACCCGTCCTTGGAGACCTTTCGGAACTGGCGCCACTCCCCGAAGGTGATTGGGTCTAAACATCTTCCTGTTAAACCAGACACTGAGCCCACAAGATCTGTTCGTCAAAGCTCCTGAGCTCCAGCCCTCCGAGAAGCCCCAGAACGACGAGCAATACCTGAGGTCCTTGGAATTCAACTGCTTCTCCTGCGTTCCTATCAGCGAAACCACGGACACGTTGTGGAGTTCATCCAGGATGTCCTGAGTGCGGGAGTGGGTGGCGCTGTGGGGGTTGTAGGCGACGAAACTGACCTGCCCAAGACGCGCCGCTGAGTCCGCCGCCATGGCGAGCAGACTGGGGGTTCCGCACACATGTCCTGAATTCTGAAGTGGCCAGCAGTCTTCTGAGACCTGGGAATGCCACTTGGAGGAGGAGGAGGAGGAGGAGGAGGAGGAGGAGGAGGAGGAGGAGAGGAGGAGGAGGGAGAGGAGGAGGAGGAGGAGGAGGAGGAGGAGGAGGAGGAGGATTAGGAGGAGGAGGAGGAGGAAAAAGAGGACCGGGGCCGTGATCGGGTCGCGCGACTCGAGGGTGGCCGCCCGCGGCGCCGGGAGCCCGAGGGCGGCGCCGAGGTACCAAGACATCGGGGACACGTACCTGTATCCCGGCCGCGCCGCCGCGCGAGCCCGTCACAGCACGGGAGGGGGGGAGGGGTCTCTCATCCTCCTCCTCCTCCTCCTCCTCCTCCTCCTCCCTCCTCCTCCTCCTCCTCCCTCCTCCTCCTCCTCCTCCTCCTCCTCCTCCTCCTCCTCCTCCTCCTCCTCCTCCTCCTCCTCCTCCTCCTCCCTCCTCCT